TGTTGCTAAGCACTGAGGTGCTCGTCGATCCTTTCTTCTTTACATACTTTGATGACTTTTCCAGTGTTTAAGAACAAACAAATTATATACTGATAAATGAATTTAAATGATGAGAATAAGTAATCTTTCTTTATCGTCCCCTTTGTTTGGTTGCATTGCCTCGTAACACGGACAATGACCTGCTTAAAACCTTTAACATTCCCTTTTCTTTTCCAAAAATAATCACTTTTTACATTTGATTTATTTAGAAGCTTTAAAATAAATGATTTCAAAACATATGATAAATGATTTCACAAATTAATGACTTTAAGGATTAAAATTACTTCAGGAAGGAGCATATGCCAAAACAAAATAACAACCTCTAAGTCTATCCCCATATGCTATTATAAGAAAAGAAAATACAAAAATAACAAAATAGAAAAACAAAAGGCACTCCTTCCCTACTATTCTGTTGTTATTTCAGGAAGGTGTTACTCAAAGTCGTCCAGTTCATCCAGTCCAGGTCCCACTGTATACATGTTGGTCAATCCAATATCAACTCCAGCTGGCTTTACCGATACGTTAATCATCTGTTTGGCTGCAGCATTGGCCAGCATTGATCTGATGAAAGGCATAATACAACAAAACAGCAAAAGAAACACAACAACAGCAATGCCAACTATGATGCCCACTCTAGTTAACCATTGTCCCCAAGACCCAAAAAATGAATTAAACCAATCCCAATTTTGCATGTCTGCTCCAGCGTTTCTGGTCACTTCTTCTCTCAGGTTTTTCAGTTTCTCCATAGCTTTGGTGAATGATCCATCTGGGGCTGTATTATTTGGAATATAAGTACAACAGTCAGAACCAAACATTACACACACTCCTCCTTTTTCTGCCAGGAGCCAATTCAGTGCTTGTCTATTCTGCCATGTAATTTTACTTGTGGGACCCAATTGTTTTCCCAGGGCAGCTAGGGCATTATCAGTATAATTGATGAATCTCTGTCGATTATAGTAAATATAATTGATCCATTCTAAGTTCTTATTTGGGGTTATCCATACAAGTATAGACTCAAATCCAGACTTAATCTCACTTCTTGCTTTATATTTCTCTGGTATTCCCCTTGGTTGGCCTATCACATCTAAGTATACCTCTGGGTCTGCTTCATAAGCTCTTTTGACTCTATGTCTTTTTAG